TGCATTCATTTTTAAATGTTTATGGAAAACTATTTTTCGAGGCTTCGGCGGCCATCTGCTGATAACTTCATAAAATATAACAATTAATGACTTTGTTTACATACATATAGGTAATAGTAAAGGCTAGTGAGAGGTCAACAAGAGAAGCCAAGATTGATTAGCTACTTTCTCTTTTGCGTTACGTGTTCGTTCATTTGAACATACCTTATTGAGTTTATTTGTTGTTAAAACAAAATTAATTGAATTCGGTTGTTTATAAGCATAGAAATTCAAGTTTATGAACAATTTTTTTAATAAAATTTTGTGAATTCCATCAAACAAAAATGGTCTTAAAAATTGAATCAATTTTAGGTAAGCTAAACGGATATCTTTTTCTAAATCAATCCTAATTCCAAAAATATTTTAACGTAACATTATTAGAAAAAATGCCCCTATAAAGGTTTCAGTTACTTTCCTTTAAATGATTTTTAAAGAAAACGATTGGAATAAATGACATTTTAAAAAGCAGATCCAAATGTCATTTCAATAATATTTCTTTTTAACGTGGATCAAATAATTAAAAACTAAATCCATAAATTAACTGTTAGATACATTATTTGTGCAGTAGCCTTAGCAATTATTAGAACAAATACTATTTATGCATTTCTCAAAACACGAACAATATATCTCTTTGCATATTTCTTTATTAATTCGTTTTTAATTGGTAACTTTAGAACGAACTAGGTGATTTTTTCTCTCTTTGCTTTGCGCCGGTTTTGTAGCTTTTCTTTATCTGACAATTATTAAATTTTCGTCACATCATTATATTAGCTACAAAATAAGTGATATTATTCTTGATAACAAGGAGAAAGAGAAAATATATTGCTTCGATTTTTTATCATAAAATATTGCTTTAAAGTAATTACAGTATAGTCTATGATAAATAAATAATAATTACAAAATTCTATACGAAGATGATTAAAATTTATAGAAAGTATTAGAAACAAAAAAAGTGTTTGACTCAGATATCTGATAGTATTACAAATGTAGGATATATCTTTTTCTAATTACAACTTTAATATTAAAACCACATGAGAGGAAAAATAATAAGCTATTGCCATCAGAATTTAGTATTTTAATGACTTATCACTGAAATTATATTAGTGAATAGGAAGGTTCTTCTTTTGAATGTCGGAACTATGCTGCCATATCTATTTATATTAACTGTAAAAGGTCTTTTAATCCATAAATTAACTTCTTATCTATGATCGTATGGAGATGTTAGTGTTTTTCACTGTTTATGAATTTCATATATATA